GTCTAGGGATATGTGTCTTTCTAGTCCAGCTTAAGAGAAAGTCCTGTGTAGCAACAGGCACACGGCTGAGGACTAATTTTTTGCAAAATCAGATCTGGAGCCTGGAAAGTTAGATTACATACAGATAAAAGCCACAGAGTCACAAGGAAGATATTGGCTGGTTTCACCAAGGAGAATCACAATAGCATTGTGAATCTAACAACAGAATCTCTTGGATGACAGCAGCAGTAAGAGCTTGAACTGTCCTTACATCAATTTATCCCAGGTGTCAATGGAAAAAATATCTTGGCATTTCGGTCCTCCAGTTCTAGGATTAGTACAGGATCAAGATTTTTCTTTACTCCACCATGGGACCTTGGCTACATACGGGAGATCCCCACCATTATCATATCACTCAGCCTACTTCTAGTAACAAAGAGCAGCATTAGGATGTTGTCTACACAGAAGCTAACAATAAAAAAAAAAAAAAAAAAAAAAAAAAACCCCAAAAAAAAAAAAAAAAAAAAAAAAATTAAAAACCCCAAAAAACCAACAATGGAAAAATAAACAACAAATGAAGAACCAGCACATAGAAATTCTCTAGTACTGAAAGCTAACAGTACTCAAATATGCTCAAAGTATTTCTTTTGCCCTTTCTCTCTGACGACTGCCAAGTACTATTTCAGGGTAACCAGAGGCCCTCTCATTTGGCTGAGTCATATGCTATCTTGCTATTAACTCTTCACAGGTAAGAACCATCTTTACGCCAGGCCAGGAAAAACAAGGGAAGAGAAACCGCTTTTTTTGAAACTCCATAAGCTTATCCAAAGAGCAGCTGATCGGGCGCTTCCCCAGAGTCTCTGAGAAAGGGTTCTGGAGAGGACAAGAAGCCAGGCCGCGCTCCGCTATCTGGAACGCTCGGCGGCAGCGGCACCTCCGGTGCTGTGCCGGGCGCCGCAGGGGCGGCCGCGACGCGCTCCGTACCCGCGGCCCGGCGCAGCGCCCGCGGCGCGGCGAGAGCGCGCCCCGGGACCGCCAGCTGCGCTGCGTCCGCGCCGCCGCCGCGGCTCAGACACGGCGCTCGCACGACGCAGGGCCCAAGTACCGACGGGCAGAGGCGGCGCCGCTTGTGCCCGTTCAGGAGCGGTGGGCGAGGCCGCTCCCGCGGCGCCCGTGGTCCCGGCGACCCCAGGCTCCGTCCCGGCCAGGAGCCTCCGCTGCCTCCCCGCAAGGTCACGCAGCCGGCGTGAGGGGCCGGGGATGCGGGAGGTACCGCTGCTCCCGGTTTCCGCTTCCCGAAATGGCCTCCCACGGCCGGTCCGGCCCCGCTGCCGTCACCGCCCGGCCGGGCCGGGGACCGGGCCCCACCGCGGAGGAGACCCGCTGTGGGGAAAGCCCGGGCCGCCCGCCCGCCCGGCAGCCAGCCCCCGCTGCGAGTCCCTGCGCCGCGGGCACTTACTGAGCTCGTCCTGCGCGGCCGCGGCCATGTTGCCGGCTGGGGAGGGAGGGGAGGCGGCGAGACACGCACCGCGCCTCCCGCCCCTCTCCGGCACCGGCACCGGGCCGGCGGCCGCGTCTCTCCTCCTCCTCCTCCTCCCTCTCCACCTCTTCCACCCCCTCCTCCTCTTCCTCCTCCTCCTCCTGCTCCCGGCGGCTCCCCTCGACGGTGGCAAGCTTCTGTCACCGCCAGTTTATATTTAGAGAGACCTGCCGTCCCCACCGCCCGCCCCCGTCGCGTACACGGCCCGGCCCCGCCGCCGCCCCGCCCGGCGGGCCCCGAGGAGGAGGTTTACGGGGGCAGCACTGACCGGAGTCCGCGCTGACCTCCATGGCGGCCGCGCCGGCTCGGCGCTCGGCACGGCGGCGCAGGGATGCAATGGGACGGGACGGGAGCGGCGCAGGGCGCCCCCGCGCGGCCGCGGGTGCGTTGGCAGGGGGAGGGCGGAGAGCCCCGCCCACAGCCGGGAAGGCCCCGCCCACTGAGCGGTATGACCACGCCCACCGAGCGGCATGGCCACGCCCACCGAACGGCATGACCACGCCCACCGAGCGGCATGGCCACGCCCACCGAACGGCATGGCCACGCCCACCGAGCTACATGACCACGCCCACCGAGCGGCATGGCCACGCCCACCGAGTGGCATGGCCACGCCCACCGAGTTGCATGGCCACGCCCACCGAGCTGCATGGCCACGCCCACCGAGCTGCATGGACACGCCCCCCGGCTGCCGCTGCTGAGCCGCTCTTCCAGAGCCATTTCCCGAAGGGATAGAGCTGCTCCGTAGAATTCGTCCCCTGCCGTTCTGGGGTTACTCAGAGAGACCGCCACGCTGCGTCTTTTTCCCAAACTCTGCCATGCCATATGGAATCTCTGTAAGGAGCATCCCGGCAGCATGCCGGGGAGCGGACGGCGTGGCGCCCGCCCCGCGCCTCCCTCCCCGCTTCCTGCAGCCGGCACGGGGCAGCTGCTGACGGCTCCCTAAAGCTCCACGGGAGTCCCAAGGCAGACGTGAGCTCAAGCGAGAGGTGTCAAGAGGACTAGCTTGTTTCTCGAGTCAGGAAAAAAAAGGCGGCAAAAGCGTCCATGTACCGGTTTTGTTCCATCTGTGCAATGTTTCTGGCTGAGCTGGAGTTCGTGTCCCCCACAATAGCCCCCATCTTGCTGCACTTTGCGTTGATAATTGGAAAGGTGCTGATAACACACCAGCTGCTGCTCAGCTTTGACTATTGCTGAGCATCAGCACTGTGTCTCCAAAATTCAAGGGGGCTGGGGGTGGGCAAGATCCTGGGAGGGGACACAACCAGGCCAGCTGACCCAAACTGACCAAAGCCTTATCCCATGGTATATGATGTCAGCTCAGATACAAAAGCAGAGGGAGGAGGGGGGGGGGGGGGGGGGGGGGGGGGGGGCATTCATTTTTTTACAGTTTTTGCATTCCAAAGCAATCTCTACGATCCTGAAGTCCCACTCCCCAGGAAATGGTCAGACATGGCTTGTGGCTGGGAAGTAATGAATAAAATTATTTCCTTCCTCTTAGCTTGTGTATGCATAAATTTTTGCTTTTGCTTTAGTAAACTGCCTGATCTCAACCAACAAGTCGTTTTCCATCTTGTTCTGTCTCTCCCATCCAGCTGAGAAAGGGAATGGATAGAGCAGCTTGGTAGGCACTAGGCACCCACCACAATTTTTTAAGGTCATGGTCTGAGGAGTTGACTCACAGCCTCCAGTCATGAGAGACTGGGCTCTAATGAGGTGTAAAGAGGTGGACCTTTTTTTTTTTTGAGGAAGCAGATTTGGAACCCATCCACAACTGATGTAAATCATAAGCATTTATTATTGCAGAAAGGAGACAGGTGGAGGAGGAGACCAGCCACATGGGAGGCACTCTCATTTCTAGCTATAATAGCTTTAAGAACAGCACATGCTCTGATGAGCTGACCATTTTTGTGGTATTTGCAGCATCAAGCCCATATCTGCTTTCCTAAGAAATGTCAAACACTGAGGTGATGATGCTCCTGCTGGTTACACCAGAGCAGAGATGTAATCCTCCTTTCCAGGAGAAGTCTGGGTATGCAATATCACAGGTGGCAGACCTGCTGTCGAGGCCACTGTTTGAGGGAGCTGTGCATACACAATCACTCAGAATCACAGAATGGGTCAGGCTGGAAGCATATCTGGTCCAACTTCCCTGCTTAAGCACGGCATCCTAGACAACATGGCACAGGATTGCATCCAGACAGTTCTTGAATCTCTCGGGTGAGGGAGACTCCACAACCTCTTTGGGCAATCTGTTCCAGTGTGCAGTCACCTGCACAGTAAAGAAATTCTTCCTCATGTTCAGGTGGAACCTCGTCATCCTCCCTTAGTATACTTCTAGCCATAGATGAGGTCACCTATCAATTATGTCTTTGGGCACCCACAGGAGGAATTTTCTCTATGATTCCGTGCCATGGAGGCAGTGTACTGGACAGTTCCCAAAGTGGGGCCAGTTAAATTATGTTGGGCCCTACAAGACAGGTGGTCAGACCCTGAGCTCTGCCAGGAGCAAGCCTAAACCAGGTACAGGCTCAGGAAGTACTTTAAAGGTTTCTTCCCTGACGAATCACAGAATCATTGGGATTGGAAGGGACCTCTGGAGATCACCTACTCCAATCCTCCTGCCAGGAGAAGGGTCACCTAAAGCATATGGCACAGGAATGTGTCCAGGTGGGTTTTGAACACCTCCAGAAGGGAGATTTTGTGATTTCCCTAAGCAGCCTGTCCCAGTGCACTGCCACTCTCAATGTAAAATTGTTCCTCGTGTCGAGGTGAGACTTCTTGTGCTTATGGCCTTCACTCCTCCTGCTACCGCTGAGAATCACTGAAAGGTCTGGCACCATCCTCTCGGCATCTGCCTTTGAGATGTTTATAAGCATTAATGAAATCCCCTCTCAGCCGTCTCTTCTGCAGACTGAACAGGCCCAGCTCCTGCAGTCTCTCCTCATGAGAAAAACGCTCCAGACCCCAAATCACCTTTGCGGCCTACTCTGGACCCCGTGTTTTTCTGGAGCTGCGGAGTCAGAGCTGCCCGCAGCAGATCAGACGCGGCCTGCCCAGGGCTGAGCGCAGGGGGTAGGATCACCTCAAAGACCCGCTGGCAGCGCTCTTCCCAATGCATCCCAGGATTCCGCTGGCGCGGGCGCCACGCACGGGCGCACTGGGGGCCGGGGCCGCAGCCGGGGGCCGCGGCAGCCCGTGAGGAGCCGGGCCCGGAGGAGCCGGCCCGGGAGGCGCCGGGCCCGGGAGGCGCCGGGCCCGGAGGAGCCGGCCCGGGAGGCGCCGGGCCCGGAGGAGCCGCCCCGGAGGAGCCGGGCCCGGAGGAGCCGGGCCCGGGAGGAGCCGGCCCCCGGAGGAGCCGGGCCCGGAGGAGCCGGCCCGGGAGGCGCCGGCCCCGGGAGCCGGGCCCGGAGGAGCCGCCCCGCGCGGCCCCGCCTCCCTCCCGCGCCGGCCCCGCCGCCGGCCGCGCGCACGGCGCGGAGCGCGGCCCGGCCCCGGCGGAGCAATGGCGGCGGCGGCGCGGCGGCGTCCGGGCGGGCGCTGGGCGCTCTGCCTGTGCCTGTGTGCGGCGCTGCTGCCGCGGCCGGCGCGGGGCCTCACCGACCGCCTCTACTGCGGCCGCCGAGTCTGCTACGAGGTGCTGGGAGTCAGCCGGCAGGCCAGCAAGGCGGAGATCGCCCGCGCCTACCGGCAGCTGGCCCGGCAGTACCACCCCGACCGCTACCGCGGGGAGCCCGCGGGCAGCGAGGGCGGCGGGGCGCAGGCGGCGCACGAGAAGTTCCTGCTCATCGCCGCCGCCTACGAGACCCTCAAGGTGAGAGAGCGGGACCGCCGCCGCGGCCGGAGCCGCTCGGGTAAGCAGTCAGGGAGGGGAGGAGAAACACCCCGAAATGCCTCCTTCCGTAGCCAGCCCGAGAGTGCGGGAAGGAGGATGGAGTGCGCTTGGAAGTCCTTCTGTGTCTAGAACGGGTTGTTTTCAAATTTATTTATTTACTTATTTATTTATTTATAACCGACCGACTAGGCTTTATCTTGGAGATATGCCTTTAAAAGTAGCAGTGACTGGAGTAGCATGTGGGATCTGTAAGGGAAGGCTTCTCAGGGCAAAGCATGTGTGACTTGGCAAAGATGCAAAGATGGAACCCGGGAATGGAAGAAGGAGACGTGTAAGTGTTTTAAGGCTACAGGGGATTAGAAAAGGGAAAGGGAACTTTTTTTTTCCTTTCTTTCTTTCTTTTTTTTTTTTTTTTTTTTTTTTTTTTTTTTTTTTTTTTTTTTTTTTTTTTTTTTTTTTTTTTTTTTTTGCGAGGCAGAAGAGGGGACGGAGTTTGAAAGGAATTCAGTTGAGCATCGCAAAATTATATTTCCCCTCCTGCTATTGCATGGAGGAAAATGATGAAAAACTCATAAGACATGAGAACAATGAGATTTTAAATTGGCCTTCCATTGGACAGATTCCATAGCCCTGTAAACTAATTCCTTTAGGTTTTGTATGACAATTTCCTAATAGGTTCTTCATCTGAAAATCTTTTCCTGAGCAATACTTATTAACTCCAGTCCAGCTGGACTTCGCATTCTGAAGTTAAACAACTTACTGCGTGAATTTTAGTTGCTTGTCTGTTTTCTAGTTTTAAATGCCTTTGCACAGCGCCTGCTTATTCATTTTACAACTAAACATGTCATATGTGCATGGGCAGATAAGTGCAAGAACAAATTAATAGAGAATATGAGTAAACAAATTTCCTCTATGTTTCATACTCCCTTGGGCTATCAACAGTTTTACAGAGACATGGTCCTTAATGAGATGTAAAACACGTGTACAATAGAGTAAATGAAAGCAGGAATTTAAACCTGAATGAGTTTTTCATGTCATCCTGCAGGATGAAGAAACACGTAAAGATTATGACTACATGCTGGATCATCCTGAAGAGTATTACAGGCATTACTACCACTACTACCGCAGGAGACTGGCACCTAAAGTAGACGTCACAATAGTGATCCTAGTTACAGTATGTGCCATCTCCGTGTTTCAGGTAAAATTTCATCACGTTTACATCACGCTGCTCTGTGAGTTTCTGAATAAGAAGAGAAGAAGTGGCAGTTGTCATAATGTACCATTTAATAAAAGTGTCAGTGAGGAGCCCTGTTCCTCTATGCTGTGGTTCAGGTCTGTTTGCTGTCCATAAAAATCCTGAAGTCAGGAGGTACTTAGCGGATTTTTGACTGCCCTTGGTACCTTGAACAAAGGTAGAGATTAGTTTCTTTTAATTTTGTTGAGACAAGGTGCATCTTTTTTGAAGAATTTACTTGGTTATTCTTGGCAGGCTCAAGAGTAGCTCAGGCAGGACTAGTGCCCCAAACAACGTGTGTCAGCTTGTCAGTATCCATAAGTAAATTAAAAAAAAAAAGCCAGTATAGCAAACTGAATTCAAGACTCAATTCAGATGATAGGACTGAATATCAGGAGTTTACTAAACTTGTGTGAATCTGTCATTGCAGTATATTTTAAATACCACATTGATGAAGTCAGGATATAAGCAAATTCAGTTCAGCAGAGTTTACTGTGAAAGTGGTAGATCCAAGGCCAAGAAAACCCCGTGTTTGGCTTGTGCTGTTGCTGACAAGAGGACAGAAGTTCGTAACTTCTCTTTAGGATCTTTTAAATCACTGGTTCAAAACACCATTAAAAATACCCAAGAAGTTTAAGAGATGAAGATACAGCTTATGCTGTAGTGTAAGCAGCTCAATGTTTAGTGGGATATTAGAAGTCAGAATAAAAATTATGTTGATCAGAATTTGAGAACTTGGAATAATAAATTCTAATGGCATATTCAGCCAAATATCTAATTTATCTTCAGATTTAGTAGTGGCACGTCTTATTTCTTATTTTTTATGCAAGTGCAGACACTCACTTTCCTGGAGTCCCAACTGCAAAGTGCTTTTAAATTCAGTGTAAGCATGTGTAAACTGGTCTGCCCATCTTGCTTTCTGTTGTTTCTGCTTCTTGGCCTTTGCTAAGGTTGTATAGTGGGTTTATGTCTGCGCTTGGTCTTGGTAAATGGTGTGAGATGCGTCATGGTTAAAAATGTTGTGAGACATGCTTGGATGTCCCAAGAATGAAATTGAGCTGCTAACTTTTTCCCTCTTTGCCTGTCTGGTTTCTTCCATGTTCTCCATGCCTCATCTCAGGTCATTTACAAGATCCTAGATGGGTCTTGTAATCATCTCTCAGCTAGTCCTTGTGCTTCTTCTGTCTTCAAAAGGAAGCATTCTCAGGGCTGTGCTGTACAGGGCTAGGAGCTGGACTTGACGATCCTTGTGAGTCTCTTCCAATTCAGGATGTTCTATGATTCTGTGTTCCTCCAGGCAATAATTTTCTGGTTTGTTGTCTGGGGTTTTTTTCCCCCCACTCCCTTGAAATCCAGAGCACAGCTGGCGATCAGAGAGGTATGTTGAGTCTTGTTAAGTGGACACTGCCAGACTAATGAGATTGTCACATACTTAGGCGGTGTTCAGTGAACTGTTTTAAATGTGTAACGATTTTACACTTAAATATTCATATACTAGCTCCTATATTTATAAATATAACAAGAGAGGCTTCTGAGAATGGCTGGCACAGCCTGGTGTTAACTTGCAGGAGATTGCCATCTACTCAAGAACAAAACTGTTCAGAACGGTGTCTGCTTGGCCTTCCTTGTCATCGTAAATTGCTGTGAGATATGCTTGTATACATCCATTTTCCAGGTGCTTCACTGAGTCTGGAGGGATAGCTTCTGTGATACCACAGCAGTACTGTTAGCTTCACTTTTTGCCCTTACTGTAATATAACCATGGTTAAAAGTATGTGACAGCATCACTTTTTTGTTTTCCTGGCAAACCTCCAGATAGGAATGTGTCTGTATTAAAATATGATTTTTACTTTTACTGTTCTTAAATTACAGTTCTTCAGCTGGTGGAGTAGTTACAATGAAGCTATCAACTACTTAGCATCTGTGCCAAAATACCGTATACAAGCTACTGAGATTGCCAGGCAACAAGGTTTACTCAACAAGACTAAAGAAAAAGGCAAGAACAGGAGGTCTAAAGAAGAAATTCGTGAAGAGGAGGAAGAAATTATCAAAGACATTATTAAAAATAAAATAGATATAAAGGGTGGTTATCAGAAGCCCAAAATATATGATATCCTTCTATTTCAGATCCTTCTTGCTCCTTTTTACTGGTGCAAATACATAGTTTGGTACTGTTGGTGGATTTATTGTTTCACTATTAAAGGGCAAGAGTATGGTGTGGAAGAGAAGTTGTACATCATACGGAGGTACATGAAAATGTCTCAGTCTCAGTTTGACAGCCTGGAAGATCATCAAAAACAGACCTTTCTTGAACGGCAACTGTGGATACGGGAAAACTATGAGGTGAGTAGTGATACTGAAATCAGCCAGGGAATAAACTTTCTAACACAACTTGAAGTATTAGAAAGCAGGCATTCTTCATTCACTGAACACACCCCAAGCTTATATCCTCTAATTAAATGTATGTCGTGAAACTTTACAGTTGGGTATTTATTCCATTGTGATTGTACATATTCATTACAATATACTTCCTAGCTAATACATAAACATCACTTTTCCTAGAGCTAATTTGCATGCATCCAAGTCCTGCTGGAAGTCCTTTTATTGTTCTAGAGGCATGTCTGAAGGGGTCTGTGATGGTTATATTGACTAAGTGCTTCAATATTTCAGGTGTCCTTTCCTTGAAATTTTTCTTTGCGCACGTGCTGTTGTTTCTTGTTACCTGCAAGAACACCACTGTTTTCCTTATTTTCTGTTCATCCAGTGGTTCCAGCTACTTTTACATACCTTTACCTTTTTTTGCTAATTAGTCTTTAAAGTCTGTCCAGCAGCTTCAGGGAAGCTGAAGATCTCGCTTCTCTATGTTATTTATCAGTAGCCCTGGTGGAAAGACTAAAGTTGGTTATCGAGCAGTCCCAGAGCAGTAATAACAGTGTGCTCTTAAGGTAGCTTGAAGACTATTGTCTCTTCTCCAAACAGTAATCATTTGTAATAAGTATTACCCAGATTTTCTGAAACTCCTATTTCATCAGTCTTCTAACCTGGCTCAGACTGTTTTGATTGTTTGTTTATTATTGTTTTGGTTTGGTTTTCCCATCTGTCCTTTGATAGTTCTTTGGCCTGTGGTGAGTCATAGACTGTTCTTGCAGTGCTGTACACCTGTTCAAGTAGGGATGGCATAAAAACCACCATTAGGCACAACTTCTGCTCTTGCCATGGATAGTCAATAAATTAATAGTCAGTATTGAATAGTCACTGTGTAATTTTTAAAAAATCTGTGAGAGCAGAGAAAGACCATTAGCCACAGCATGGATTTTTCAATCCAGAATTATTTGGGATGCTGAGGCATGGCATGTTGACAGAACCCTTCTGTTATTCCACAGAGGTGCATCTGTGGGCCATTTGCATGGGAGGTCTCTAAAGAAAAACATGAGAATGTGAACTCAGTCTGCTTAAGGGAACATGGAGTTGGTGCTGGAGTTGGGGGGAGAGATGGGATGATGGCAGGACACCAAAAATAAGAGAATGTTTTCTAGCAAACCCATCCTAACTGAACACATACACATACCTAGCAGATAATCCTTTCCTTACATTAATACCTATTTTACCATTTTCCTCTTCAAGTTTATAGGGTAATCCACCCTTGCCTCTTTTGAAGAAACAATCTGAAGTCCAAAGACTGAGTAATGCTGCTAGTTAAAGCAGATGTTAATATGGAAAAAGATTGCACGGATATCCTGTAGTAGGGGAAATTGCCCTAGTTTCTCATCCATGCAGTTTTTAATTAAGGATGTTTTGGTCACTGAATATGAAAGCTGTATTTGCCACAAGTGAAGTCTTTTTAGCTCACATTTGTCTCCTGTGGTGACCAGCAGTTCATTTTCTCTAACAAATACATGACATCTGCACACATATAGTAATATTTATCCATCATATTTTGCAGCTTTGTGACTTTTTGAAAAGGAAATGGGGTCTTTGTACATAATTGCTTCAATGAGTTTTACCTGGTCACTTGTATGCTGTGAAGCTTTCAGCCTCTGCTGTGCCATCTGGTCATGAGTTCATCAATACTTGAAGAAGGTGGTAGAGGAGGATTTTTCTGAAACCACCTGGACTCATGCTCATTCCAGTATTACAGGAAATGGAGAAATAGTCATGTATTTTCTATAGAATGTGTTTTCTAGGGTGAAAAATAATGCTGTAGTGTTTCTTCCCAAAAGCTTGTCTGTTCCTTCATCACTGGAAATGTCTATCTACATATTGTTCACTTTTCTGGTGTTTTAGGATGGGAATGACCAGGAATTCAATGCACAGGGACATAGAGCTCCACAATATTTTTACAGTTTCCTTTATGATCACTGAGCATTGAGTTTGTGTATTCATGTAGCCATCTGTAATATATTTTTTAAATCTTGTTCGTACAAAGGGGAGCTCTAAATTTAATTGCCCTTTGAGTCAGACTAAGTCACATGACACTGAGATGATGAAATCATGCATGGTTTTGAGATTTATGCTAGCTGCATCTACATAAACTACCTTCCAGAATAAAAAATCAGATACTTTCGCATTTTCATGGCTTTTTTTTTTTTTTTCAGATTACTGACTTTGCTGTTAACTATAGATTCCATTGCAGTGAGCGAGTATTTCTTGATAGAATATAATTGTTCATCTTTTAGTACTGTAAACACTGGATGCTGAGATATTTGAGATTTTCTCAACTTTGTTGAGAACCTTACTTGGGAACAAAAAGTTCCATTGTGCTATTCTGTTAGATGACGACTTTGAACAGGGAGAACAGCTAAAATGAAGAGCTGAACAACTCCATTGGACAGTATGTGTGCTGAAAGGGACTTGCAAGGTTAGCTTTTCAGAACATGAGCAGTTGCTTAGTGTGTATTTTGTTGAGCTTGTCGAGCATCTACTTCTCTAGCAAAAAAAAAAAAAAAGGTTTTGGAGCTTAGAGGAAGGTTGTTCTGCTCTCAGCAAAAGCACAAAGCATCTTGGGCAGTAAGTAGTAGACTCTTGAGCTGCAGGTCCTCCAACACTTTGTGTTGGTCAGGGTCTGCTTCTGCACTGCAACTCAGTCTTTTGTAAGAACAATAAGCTGGCAAATGATTGAAGAATAAACAGTTAGACCCTACTTGAGTCTCAGGTAAGCTGTTTCTTCATCCTTATTAAAACTTTCTCCCTCTCTTACCAGGTGTATAAACGAGAACAAGAGGAGGAGTTAAAGAAGAAGATGGCCATTGATCCCCGATGGAAGAGATACCGGCGGTGGATGAAAAATGAAGGACCTGGAAGACTGACTTTCATTGATGACTGAAAGTTGCTCAACAAAATGTGTGCTATTGCTGAAAGTGATTTGCAAAACTTTTCATTACACCATTCAGAGTTTTGTCTGCTGTGGCTTAGCAGTGATCTAAAACTCAGGAACTATTACATCAGGCAGAAACATAATACAGGTTTACCATTTTTATAAATCAGACCTATTAAAACAGGCTCAGCCTAATGTATATATGCCATTTACTTGGGGATATCAGTGTGGAATTCATTATTCCAAACAATGTATTTTTGCTCGATACTTCATCATCAATGAAACCATAACTCTAGTCTTTCTGAAAATGTTTTTAGTTCAAACCTTTGCAAGTCCCAGTTTTCCTCTTTAAGCTGAAGGGTTTCTGCAAGTGGAAACTGAAAATGCTCACAAAAGATTCTGAAGCGAGAGCCATTTTCTGTTTTCTTCTCTTTCCCCTACTTTTCAATCTAATTTCTAAGATGCCAAATTGGTTGTTTTTCATGTAAACAATATGGGGATTATATGAGACTACTGCTATTCCTGCTTCACTTGGAAATTGATTTTATTCTTTGTGGGAATAAATGATGCATGATTGATCATCATTGTGATGCAAACAAGCCTTAATTCTTTGTTCTACAGAGTAATTAATGATACAGTATGCTTGGATTTTTGTGGTTTTTCATCTTGTACATTGGATTATACCTGCTTGTTCCAAACGAGTATACCAGTGAATATTAGTTTATTAAATGTGACATTTCTTTCACCAAAGTATTGGTTAAAGGGAAAAATGACCCTTTTGTTAAAAAGGGCAGTTTTGATGCCTTATGTAAATAAAAGTTTATATATGCAGACTTAATTAGTTTTAAATTCTAAATCTTAAAGTATTCATTACATTTATCTCTTCTGATCAGACCTCTGAGTACTTAGAATAAATAATACATAACAGCAGTCTGTGGTTTGCTCTGTAACAAACAAGGTCAGAGAGTTTCTGTGATTTGCTGGTAAAAGGGATTCTGCTACCTTATTCCTCTTCAGTAATTTTACTGGGGAAGGAAAGATGGGAGCATAGTCTCTCTCCTGTCATCACACTTGTAAAAGTGAGTTCTTTAGAAGGAAACTGCTGAAAACACTGCCTTGTTAGCTACTGAAGAGGGTCCACAGAGAGCCAGCCAGAGTAATGACACTCAAACCAACATGACTAGATGTCATCCTCCTTTATTGTCTACTTTATTCATGCTTTATACCTTATTGTCTTACAGTAGCTAATTAACACTCATTGGCTAACGTAATGTAATTACATATACAAGTCACTTATTGATTGGCTGTTACACTACAAGTGTCTGATCACATTACAGTACGTGACATTTTTCAGCATCCAGCATTGACTATTGTATTTGTACAAAGCTTATTGTCTTTTCAAGGATGTCCTAAATACTTCTAAAGTAACTCTGTAATCTGTAGACCAGGGTTGTCCAGTTCCTGCAAAGAAATACCATCAAGGATATCATGCCCTTGCTCCATGAGAAATTCCTCTACAAGCTACCTTCTGTGGAGATTGGTTCTGGGGGTACAGGTTTTGAACTTGCTACTCCTGACTTTTTACACGTTTTTGAAATGTTTCAGTTTTCTGTTAAAATATTTTCAAAACCGTGTTGTAGTTTTATGCCCAGCTGGAGATGAAACACCTCGTAGCTGCTTGTTCAGCTCCTCTCTCTTTTCCCCCCACCCTGGTAGAATGGGGACATAAAGTAAAACTTGTATGTCGAGATAAGAACAGTTTAATAACTAAAAATACAGTAAAATATAATAATAATGGGAAATAGTAAAACAAGTGATGTATGATGCAATTGCTCACCAGCCACTGACAGATGCCAGACTCCCCTTCCTGTACCCAGATACACTGGCCTGGGTAACCCCCCCAGTTTAAATACCAGTTTAAATTCTGGTGTGGACTATCCATTTGGTCAGTTTAGGTTATTTGTCCCAGCTATGCTCCCTCCCAGTTTGGCTTTTTTTTTTTTTTGTTTGTATCTTCTCAGTGGCAGAACATGAGACAAGGAGGGGAAAAGTCCTTGACTTTGGATAAAAACAACTTAGCAAAAACCAAAATATCACTGTGTTATCAACACCATTCTCATTCTGAATCTAAAACACAGCAGTCTAAACAGCTACTGAGAAGCTGTAATCAGGACAATACCCACTACTTATTCCATATCATCTGCATTATGTCAAATTTCACACTCCCCAGTATCCCATCACCTTCCCTGTTTTGATAGATGCAAAACATCATTCCACATCATTCTCTTAGTCAATGGAACACTATTAAAACATCCACACAATTTAAAAAAAAATGTTTGTATTAATTTAATCCATGGCTTTGGCCTTCATCCTTGCTAAGAGTCTTTCAGGCAGAAAAGATGGTATGAGGTGCTGGTTTGTTGCATGCTGCACATTTGAGCCAGTTCTGATCCCAGTACTGCTGCACATGGTGGTTTTATCAAAGTTCATTTTTGTGAGCGCGATGATCAGAGGGAAATCAGGCTCAGATCCCCAGAACAATTGGGATTAGGATTGAAGCAGTGAGGTGCTCTATGAGGTGTTACACATGCAGATATTATTACTGCTTCTACACACAGAAGCAGTAATACAGTGTTGCATAGCTGTCAGTACATCATACAATTTAACTCATTGGCTATTTTCACGTAAAGTCAAATCACCTTGAGGCCCACACAGGACTTGCCCATCTTCCAACATTACCCACCAAGTGCACCTGGGTCCTTGAACAAAAGCAAGCCCACAGATAGGTTTGCCTTTGCATGGGGCAGGAATAACCCAGACCCTTTTCCCCAACATGCTTTTAGTATGCACTACAGGAAATTTATCCCCTTCTACACCACGTAAAAACTTTGGGCAGGGCCAGCCTGGCTGGCAGATCCTCTGGTATCTAACCACATGGCCTTTGCTAAATGTGTATGTATCCCAACATTTCAGTGTCCCGCCACCCATTGCTCTTAGTGTAGTCTTTAACAGTCCATTTCATAATTCATTCTTTCCAGAGGCTGGTGCATGATAGGGAATGATACATCCACTCAATGCCATGTTCTTTGGCCCAAATGTCTATGAGTATGTTTAGGAAGGATGTCCCACTGTCTGATTCAGACCTTTCTGGGGTGTCATGTTGCCACAGGACTTGCTTTTCCAGGCCCAGGATGGTGTTCCAGGCAGTGGCATGAGGCACAGGGCATGTCCCTAGCCATTACCACTATAAGCACATGGCACTTGCCATTACAGATTTAGAGGGGTATGATATGGTCAATCTGCCAAGCTTCCCCATATTTATACTTGAGGCATCATCCTCCATACCAAAGATGTTTTACCTGCCTGGCCTGCTTTATGACAGCTCATGTTTCACTTTCATGGATAATCTGTGTCCTTGGTTAAATCCACCTCTCAATCCTAAACCAATCTCTATGTTGCATCTCTTCCTTGGTGTCCCAAGGTATTATGGGCCCACCAAGCTAGAAATAATTTACCCTTGAGTTGCCACTCCAGGTTCACCTGAGACTCCTGAGTTCTGGAAGATTGATCCACCTGCTGGTTATTCTGATGTTCTTCAGTGGCCCTGGGCTTGGGTACATGACGTGCTTTCACAACCAGGCTCTCCATCTGGGCAGCTAGCTTGCCACAATGCAGCAGTTCAGATGGGTTTACCCCTACATCAATTATTCTGTTTCACAATTTGCCAATTATTCTGCTTCCATTACTGCAACCACCCCCACAGGGTATTTGCCACCACCTGTGAATCAGTATAAAGCATCAGCCATTTCTCTCATTCAGCAATGTCTAAGGCCAGCTGGATGGCTTTCAACTCAGCAAACTGACTCAATTTACCTTCCCCTTCAGCAGTTTCTGCAGCTTGTTGTGGGGGGCTCAATACTGCCATTTTCCATCTCCGGTGCTTTCCCATAAGGACAGCAAGGACCCAAACAAAAAAGGCGTATTGCTCCTTCCTTTCTGGTAATGTATTACATAGTGGGGGCTCTCCAGCACATTTTACCTCTCCTTCTGGTGACATTCCCAAATATTTGCCTTCTGGTCAGTCCATGATCACTTCTAAGATTCCTGGATTATGAGATTTCCTATCCAAGCTCATTGTGCAACCAGTGCAAGCCACTTAGTCTACTCCATACAGCATTGGTTGCATGATGTGTAGAGGAGATTCCCCCTTTGAATATCCAGCCCATTGTACAAACAAGTGTACCAGGAGGAGCTGTGCTTCAATACAAATCACTTCCAAAGTAGCTTGGACACCATAAACTGCCTTGTATCTGCTTTTTAGTTGGAGTATAACAGGCCTCAGATCCTCTCTATGGCCAATTCCAAAAACCTAGGGTTCACCCTTGAGCCTCACCTGGTGCTTTCTCTCAGAGGCTCCAGGAAGAACCATTCTCTTCAACTGCAGATAAGGCACATTTTTTACATCTTGCCCTATTCAGACTGGCCAAGGGATACACCATGAATTATCTCCTGTTTGGTTTATTCAAAGGCTTGTTGCTACCCAGGGCCCCATTCAAAATTATTCTTCTTCTGTGTTATGTGCCAGAGGGAGCTTACAACCAGACTGATTTGGAATGTTCATTTTCCAAAATCTCACAGTGCCTAGAAGAGCTGGTGTTTATTTCTAGGTAGTTTGTGGGCACATCACTGTTATCCTATTAGTAATGTCCATTGTGATCTGGTGATGTTCATCTTGTCATTCTATTCCTAAAAATTGCATGTCCTATGCAGGTTCCTGTTTTATGGAAAAAATGGACTTTAGAAGGATTTGGATATTCTTTCCTTTCTCAAAAACTTCTCCTGCAGTATTCATCCAGAGATCTCATCAATATATTCCAGGAGTGCTGCTTCACCCTGCACCAGTGCAGTCTGGATCAGTCCATGACAGATGGTAGGGCTGTGTTTCCATCCCTGGAACAGTCAGTTCAGGACTACTGGACATCCCTCCAAGTGCAAACAAACTGTGGCCTGCTCTTTGCTGCCAGAGGGATTGAGAAAAACACATCAGAAAATCAGCAGTGGCACCACTTGGCTGCCTTTGACTCATTTTGCATTGAAGCCCCAGAACGCCGGGTGTGGCAGCATCAGAGGTGGCATTCACTCAGGCCATGATAATCTAGTCTGTCTCCATCCCCAGTAGACTTTCACACTTGCCATATGGGGCTGTTAAGGGGTAAGCAGCTCCTGCTGTTCAATCCTTGGCTCTCCAGCCAGCAAACCATGGGTAGGAGGAGTTAGAGAGTCTCTGTTGGAGCCTTATTACCTGTGGTAGTGAATGGCACCTGCTGTTCCTCAGCCTTCAGCAGCCCCACAACAGGAGGGTCCTCTGGGAGACCAGGCAAGATAGATCACTGTTTAATTTCCTCAAAGCCTTGTATTCCTGTGGGCCTGGCACAGCAGTAAACCCAGTAAACCCAGTTATCCCTCTACCTGGCTAGAGGCTAAGGCCAATCTAATACTGATCTCAAGGCTCCCCACTAACATCTTGTAGAAATTCACTAGGACTTCTTTCCATAGGGTCAGTATTATGACCAGACCTTCCATTCTGCCTGGAAAACTGTATGCTGGACACTGGAGCAGCAACTTCCCTGTAAAAAAATGCACTGTGCTTGTTTTCCCCTGCAGTTCCTGCACCTGTGCATCTAGGATCAAGGTGGATTGCTCATCCCACTTCCTCATATCCTCTCTGTGGCCCTGCTGGTAAAACCACAGCATACCCTGTGGTGTGTACCTTTTATATCCTCTCTTTGAGCAAGAGGACACCTGCTGCCAGTAGTAGAAATAGGGGCCCCTACAGGTGAGGAGTAGGACATATTCTCTCTGAAATGCTGAAAATGCAGTTAAATCTACCAGTTTATCTGATAGCTTTTCCACAGCTGCAGTGGTGGGGG